GATTGATACAAAAAAATAAGTAACAAAAAAAAAAAAAATAAGGCAACATCAAAAGTTGTAGTAAAATGTGAGAAGGCACGACAAATAATAAAGATTGTCGCAAGAACTTGAGAGAAGCAAACCTTTTTTTTCCCTAAACTTTTTATTTATTTAAATTTTTTTTTCTTTTGTTTTTTTTTTTTTTTTTTTATCGATAAATGTAAAAGTTCTTTTTGGAAGTGGAACAATAATTGAAAAGCACAAGTCGACGACTAAAAGTAAAACAAATATAACAAGAAAATCGTTTTGATCTAAACCACACGGGGCATGTAATGTACAAGATAACAAAGTTAATTCACGTTTCTCCATCTTTTTTCCTGCATTTGCCTCGTTCGTATTCTCCTATACATGCAAATTAAACAGTCATTCAACCTATGCACTATAGTACATGTCACAAGATTCGACTAAATTTTACAATCAACCGCCTTCACCCGAGCTTGAAACCAGTGTAGCAAACAAAAGCACACGCACTCGGGAACGAAGAAACTGTTGTTAATTGACGCGATCATTATGCATCCAAAACTAGTTGATTAACCTCTCGTGGTTTAAGAATATGGTCTTGATTTCAACGCCCGACTTTCTCATGAGTAGAAGATCAGTCACTTAACACGATCATGCATTTAACTTCTGATGGAAAAACATCTCATCCTCACCTTCATCTGACTTCTAAGATCCACGACACACATTCTTCAAGAAGTTGAAATTTCTGATCCACGGCTACGTTCAAGAAAACTTGCATTTTGTTGCGGAACTCAGAGGAATCTTCCTTGCACCTAAATGATCCAGCACATGCACAGTGTTCAGATAAATGTGCAGCTTTGATTTGATTGCACTTAAGGCACACCAGGTCCTGAAGATGGAAGAGTCGTTCTCTCTGTCGTATAATCTGAAGAAGAGCATTCTCCATCACCTCGCGATCATAAGGTTGCCCACACTGAGGCACTGCACAACGCCATTCCTGAGCAACTAAGGCCCTGTCACTGCACAAATCTAGATCTCTACAGTCGTTGCAGTAACTGTAAAACGGACAGAGTTGGAATATTAGCAGACGTAAGTAAAACTAGTGACTAATCACAGATTTCAAGTTATTTCAAAAGAAAATAATCCATATAAAATCATTATTCGCATTTTTCGTTTTAAAAATAATAATAATAATAAATAAATTGTTCCGACTTTACCTGCAAATGATATTTGGTAATGTTAAGGTCATTGATAAATTTTGAAATTCGGCCTCTGGAGCAAATTCCCTTATGCGGACCAATTTTAAAAGATTCCTTCTCATGATCTGCACAAATACAAGCAGGAATAAAATTACTCAGATGACAGGTTGGATCAGACCTCTTTAGCTGAGTGCAACAAAAACATTATCAAAAAATAAAAAAAAATGGAAGTAGTAAAAATGAGGATTTCCCACATAATATAGAATCATTTCCATGTGGTATTGAATTCAGATAGAACTTTAAAAAATTTAGAGACTACAGTGTAATAACATCCTAAAATGCCGTGGAAGTCATAAGCTTAGGAAATTTAAGCATTAAACCAGAAAATTATAGAAATGCTATAGAGAAAACTAGCATCAATAGTCAATGAGTAAGAATCCTCTACCCACATCCATAAAAAGTAAGTATAGGGAGACGTAATTTTCAGAGTCAACCTGTTACAAGTTTCATATGAGATTAACATTTATGTTATAAAAATTCAGAGATCAATCTGAAAATGCTGATAATTTATAGTACGACGGCAGGACTGGACATCATAGCTCCAACTTTACAGGCACATGATGCATAGCTCACCTCATAAGAAAATATGTAATATTACATTTACCATGCCTAGGATGTGCAGAAATATGCATACCAGAACTTCATGCTGAACATTTTGGTCAAGAGCCAAAACTGCACAGATATACTTGATGAAATCCAGAGCAGGATCTCCCTTATGAATGTTGTTAAAAGGTTGTGAACTTCCAGTTGAGATGGGATGGTCACTCTTGTGAAGACTCGGATCGCATACAATTTTAAGAAGTTTGTCTGAGAAGTAAGATCCAATCTGCATGACATACAATTACTTGAGTCAAGTTAAATTGGTCAGAGAGATTATATAACATATTTAAAATTATTGCAAATGACTCTCAATTAATACCTCTTTCTTCAGATACGTGTTCATCTGTGATTCAAGAATTTCAGCAGTTGCAGCTGTGATTGACGGAGTGCACAAGTCGTCAATTGTATGAGCTCGGCTTGCAGCTTGTTCTTGTGCATACTTCCACGGTTCATATAAAAATTCAGAAACGATCAAGATGAAATGATCCTGTATAAAATAATATTTCACAGTTGATTAGGCAGAACGCTGATAAAACATTACATAGATGATGCTTAGCTGTGAGGTTTCAATTTGGAAAACAGGGAGTTCATTTACCTAAGTGAAGTTACCTAAGCAGGATCCCCCCTTAGGAAACCCTACTGTCCAGCTATATGACATCCCAAATAGAATCTATCAAGGATGACCAATGGGATTAGATATGAAGCATTGTGGATAAAAATTCAGTGGTCCGCAAGAAGTGAGTGTCTGATAATTATTGGCTAGTTGACACTGGCCCAAATGGATCAGATCTGGCAGTGTTGGGTGGTTCTTTTACTCTTTAATCTTAAAACTGGTTGTGATTCTAGTTGCGGTGATGATGGTGAATTTTATGTTCGTGACTTTATTGCGACAGTGATCCTGATTCCAGGATGAGAAGCGGTGATGATTGTTTTCTTTAATAGGTATTGAGCTTCAAATAGTCTTCAACATGCCCCCTCGAGGGTCGGCCGCGTTTACTTTTTCTCTATTAAAGCCTATCACGTAGACAATTCAATTTAAAGGGGTAATGAACTTGAACCCAGGACCCTTGCTTGCTCTAGTACCATGTTGGATCATTTTATATCATTCAAATATTACCTTCAACACACACTTACAGCAATTTTGATGATGGTGAAGAAAGGTGGCAATTGTGCCTTTAGAATTCATGATTCCAGTAATGACAGGAACTTATATGCCTTATGGAGACTTTAAGGACGGGCTGATAAATTCATGAAACCTCCGGGCACTAAGAACATCCAAAATTTTGATCCTCCGGAGACCAAGTCAACATAAAAGCTATCTTTAATAGAATAAATTATAGTCTAATGAGCTACCTGAGTTGCTTTAGGTAAGTTTTCAGCAATATTCCAGCTCGAGACAATTTCTACTTGAGATTCATCTGGGCAACTTTCAATGTTCACTTCTGAATTTTCTTCTGCTGATCTGTCCTTTAATCTAGCTTGAATTCCACCATAGTTGTACTACCAGGCCAAAAAAAATAAAATATGAAGAAAGAATGAGGGAGAGAATAATTTATCAGAAATAGGAAATAATGCAATATACGCAAAAATGAATGGCTTCATGTTACACCCCAGTCAACGGCCAATAAGACGAAGTATTGATCACCTCCAAGCAATCAAACAAGGAAAAAGAAAAGCATGACTTGCACTGAGTAAGTTATGAATGCTTGCCAAAATGAAGTTAGTTTATTAAACACTCCAAAGAGAAATTAAAGGGCTTGGATTCCAACAACATGAACATTACGTATTTGACGTCATGAACGCACATTTCATTTGATTAATAAGAAAGAAAACAGTACGTACAGATTAGTATGGGAAGCAGATTGAGCTTGGCGTCGGGAGAAATATCAGATTATTCCTTGAACCGGTTTTGGGTTTAAAAAAGGTGTACCGACCCAGAATGCGGTACTTAACTGTTATTGGGTGATATGGTTGGAAAGAAATTGCAGAATTTTTTAAGGAAAAGAGCAAGGTTTTTTGCGTTATGGGAAAGGCAAAATTCCTGGCATCAGAATGGGCATCAACATAGAAGAAATTTAAGGGAGTTCCTCTTTGAGTAATTGTTCCCAATTCCAAAGAAGTACCTCCTTGATTTAGTTTAGAGGATAGAGGATATTTTATCCTCCAGAAATCAAAAAGAATTTCTTTGATGAGTAAAATTTTGTTTCTCATACAAGGAGAAAAAAAAAAGCATGGCATCATGAGCATGAAACACTAACATAGTTTATGGATGCCAGGCTGTTAACACCTAATTGTACCCAAATAATTTAGTAGTATCACATTTTATCAACCATATGGCACTAGATCACATCCAGGGAGCACAAGAAGATAAATGAATACTCAAAGCTAGTTACTATGGAAGCATGTCAAGAGTACAATTAATTTCAAGGGTTTGTTTTCTCGATAATTAATCTATTAATTTATTCACACCAAGGGCCATTCTTTTTCATCCACATAGATAAGCAATCTAAGTTAATGGATCTCTCACATTCAAATTTTTTTTGACCCAATGTTATTATATGAAACTTCAGTTATCATATTGTACCCATGTCAAACCCTTGAGATATGAATATACATTGTATTATTTTTCTCGTACCATCTAGTTTTACTGAACGTATTTTGAACGTCCATTTTTTCTTTCTTAGAAAAAAAAGAATTCTATGGGTAGAAAAAGCAGTGTGCAATTCAGGAGGACAACAGGTCTGCAAAGGTCAATAAATATCAATATATAGCCCTTTTTTGGCTCAGATTTTAATCTGAGTCAAAATCAAACAATCAATATTAACATCTTTTATAGGTCCCGCAACATTTCAACTACACATTTCATAAATTTCTATCAAAATCTACTAAAAAATTAATTTTAATCCCCACCATACACCCTCATAATATCACCCAAAAAAAAAAAATAATAATAAAATAAAATTATCCAGCTATGTTGGATATATGGCTTTTATTATCCATAAAATGCACATGAAGCCTTGCATCATAAAGAAGCAAAGAGGATTTATTTTATCCTTAAATTAAACAAGAGAAGGTAATATTTTCAAAGAATCTAATGTTTCTTTCTAATTGAATACACCGTGTACCTATGACAACATAACTTGATTAGAACATTTTTGTGTATCCATATCCATATTCAAGACACTTAAATAATGATTATCTGGGTCCTAATACTTGATGATTGACATGTCCACTTAATTCATACCCGTAGCTGCAGGAGAAACCAATACAAGTTAAATGACTAGGGGGAACTGCATGTCATAATGCATGTGCATATTTTCTCGCAGTATGATTTAAAAAGCAGAGGCCAAGTGTTCGTGTATTTAATTGCACCAAGTTAAAGAAAGTTATTGGACAGACAAATGAAAAAGTTAAACATGTAGAGCTACCTGATCCATAAAAAGCAAGGAAGACCAAAACTGCAAGGGCTCAAGCTCAATCCACTCAAATAGTTCTCTGTTGAATATCAAATTTGAGTAGATAATCCAATAGAAAATAAATAACTTATCAGCAAGTTGTTCATCAAAATGCAAAGACAAACCTAGTTTGTATAGTTTTGAGTATACTATCGCAATATGCTTTAGCTGCAGATAGATCTGACTTTCCTGTATTGATTATAACTTTCTTGAAGCTTGCAAATACGATTGATGCACCTAATTTACGAAACTCAGACATCAGCAGTGCAAACACCTTTTGCATAACCTGGCAATAGAGATGACAGTATGTAAGAATTCATACAAAACAGATTAAACGCAATGAAGAATGACATTATGTGTAGAAACCGTTGACTGTAAAAGTAACAAGGAAAGAGGAGAAACTAGGACTGAAGTATGTAAAGGCACTGTGATACTCTTTTATCACTTTA